GGGCAAACCAATGTACGTAGCTATTAACTATTAAAGTGCAAAAATTGATTTTTCTGAATTCTAAGTAACTTAATATTGATAAATTATCACTAACTATTAAGTAAATAACATTTTATAAAAATTAAAAATCAACTGCAGGTACTACTAAGTAGTTTAGTGAGTAATGCGTAAACGTTTAAACAACCGTGTTTTCCCGGAGAAAACGTTTAGGACGTGGAAACGTCCCTATCCCGGTAGTGCAGGTCGAGCGGAGCGAAATCCCGAGATAGATTTGTTAGTATTGTTAAAAATATTATTATTATTTCCTCTTTTAATTTCCTATTGCGAGACATCCAGTGTGAAAAGAGAGTTATTGCTCAGGACAGTACCAGCAACATATCAGCGGAAGAATTAAAACTTTAAGGGGAGTAGATTTCTTTTAGATGACTGAACATTTTAATTTTATACCTTATCGATCAGCGGTTAAATAACAATTGTTGTATGGTGTAATTTTGTATTCATGTAATCTATTGTTACGTAGTTTCAACGAGATGAGTTTTTTTCTCTCAAAAAAACACTCATATTAATCTTTTCTAGACAATTTCCAAATATGTTGCCGATTGTTGTGCTATTTATAAGCATTTGATACTTTCCAGTTTTTTTTTTTTTTAGTTTTTGTGTAAATAACATTGTTTCGGCAGAGCAGAAATACTCGAAACTTTAACGCAAGGTTTGTCATAAGAATACTCGATAGTAAAAAAAATAATATTTAGCCGTTCGTCCTACTTATAATAGTGACCTACCCATCAACATTATCATCTGTTTAGATTCTGAGCGCAGCGACGCATTATTCGTTGGTTTTTCTATAAAGTGTGCTTTTTTCCTTTTATTCCTTCTGTCTTTTATCAAATTGTCCGATAAAAATATTCCTTTTTTAAGTAATTTTCACAATAATTTGGGAAAGCCGGGAAAAAACTTAAAGGGAAAACGAACAAATTTATGGCAGTAAAATTTTCAATTTTTTCGATTTGTATTTTTCCACCAGAAATCTAGAAAATTTTACGGCTTTGGCCGTAGATTTTCGATTTAGTTTGTTTATTGTTTTTGTTTTAATAATTCGGTTAATAATTACAAATAACCGTAGAGATTTATTGACATAATATTCTCAGTGTCTATATACTATTATAATATACGAGTATTACGATTTTGTAGACGCGGTAAAATTCTCGAAAACCGTTCCGGCGAATCACTGTCCGCGTATAGACACTCGGTATATTATTTCGTACCGAAATAACGGCGCGGCGTTTCCGAACACATCTAAAGTGTGGTTTGCACGATGCTAGTTTACTAGCAACTAGTAAGCTAGTTTGCGAGTATAATAGAAATATTTCAACTTGACTAGCAAAACTAGCGTGCTATTTTATTATGTTTTTATTTGACAGTTGATCATTAACCGCCGACTCCTTGAGTAAACTAGAAGTGGCTCTTAAAGAATTTTCGTTAAAGATCCATTTTTTTAACCAGTAATCTTTTCTTGGTTTTGTTTCTTCTTTCGAGTTCAATTTTTATTGCGGTTCTCAAAAAACCTATACTCGCCATTTTATTATCCATGATAAATAGAAACACAATTAAATCACAGACTTATTTATTTTTCGTGAAGTCTATTTGAGACCGACTTTCCCGCATTTTCTATTTATCTCGTTAAATTCTAAAAAAAAAAAAAAAAGCCATACCAATAAGAAGGGAAATTGAAAAAAATGGAATATTTTAATTTGTTGAGAAATTAAAATCAAAAATCAAAAAAGCGACAAAGTCGATCTCGCGGCAGTAGACTTCACGGCGAATTCAAATCTGCTTTCAGAATTCGCACCGCTTCACTAGTTCAATCGGCACGTTGGAAATAAAACACGTCTAAATGCCTAAGTCGCACGTGTGTGAGACGCGAAAACTACAGAGACTCGTCGCTTCCAATCCCCCCTCCGCCCCTCCCCCCAACCGGCGACGTCATCGTCAGGCCCGTTTTCGTTACCGTTCTCGCCGGGGCGCGCGGCACCGCGCAATACTTGCGTAGTGATATTATTATTGTTGTTGTTGTTGTTGTAGTTACTGTTATCGTCCGCGCGACTGTATCGCGGCCGTACTACAATGCCATTATTATGTTGGCGCGCGCCTATCCCGTACATTGTTGTAACGTCACCGTCATTATCGTTATATTATCGTTATTATAAAACGCGGACTTAATCCCCGTCCCGCCGCGGGGATTCCCGGCGCGCGGCCCCGTTTGACGACATCGGCGCGCAAATCTCGTAAAACAATATCGCCGATAAACGGGCCCCGCCGTCAGCGTAATAATAATAATACAACAATATTGTTATTATTTTATTATATACGAAACGCAACGCTCGGACATTTTATACGGTTTTCATGCAAATACGGAACGCCGTAATACGCGCCGTAACGACGTAGCTATAGGTCGGATCCCGTGTACATACGTACATGGCCGGTTTTTTTTTTTTATTTGCTCGCCGTCGCACCGGCTTGTATATATTTATTTATATATAATAATAATAGCAATAATTTAAATATTGTATATTACAATATAAAACGAAACTTTTTTTCGTGCGCGCCGTTGGTAAAAAAAAAAATAATAATAATAATAAAGCCGCGCATACGGTTTCGGTGTATAAAGTTCAAACATTATAACAATAAATATATATAAATTTCCGCGACCGTGGGATTTACTCGGGGGGTCGCGGAAAAAACCGGGACGGACCGGGAACGTCGAGTCGGCGGTTGAAAAAAATCTGTACGTGGAGGAAACAATAATACCGTACGTTATAATGTTGCGCGTGTGTAGGAGGAACACGTGTTTCGTACCGCCGCCGCCGCCGTAAGAGTACACATTACGTATAACATAATATTAAATCGTTCGGCGATTTTTTTTTTTTTATAATATTTTTCCGGCAGCCAGGGTAAACAAAACGGTTGTACGGACGGTTCGACGTTTCAATAACAATACTCCTGCGCGTATCATATGTACACATTACTAACTTATCATTATGGAAATCGCGCACGTGCAAACACACGATCGTCTTCTCGTACGCGTATTTAATTTTTTAATTTTTTCTTTCTTTTTTTCCTCTCTTCGTGTTTTACGTACGATACGTCGAAACACTCGAACTCTTCCCCGTTTGCGGGTTTCATACTCGTGGGCTGGTCTGCAGCAATTTCCGCGCTTCTCTACATCAACAGCCTTTCCTTCCGTTTCGTGCCACGGTTACGCTCTTGATCTGCCATTACCCGATCGATCGCGTATTAGACAGTCGCGGATTCTGCCTCTGCGGATTTTTCTTTCTACCGTGCATTCCATGGCTATATCTCTGGCAAACCACCGTGTCCGAAAATTTGACCTATCCATTAGTTTTGCATTTTCTAATGATATTTTAGATTCTTAATGGAGCGAGTAATATATTGGTTTTACAATGATGTTTATTTTTTTTTTTCTGTAGACAACGTTTCTACCAGCAATTGTGCTCCGCTTTACAATGACAGCACTTTTTCTGAAAAAAAATCTGACTGGGGATACACTTTAAGCAGATAATTTTTCGATTTTCCTAGGAGTTTTGGCCTAAAATATATGTTCTCCAATTTCTTGCTCGTGTCTTCCGTTTGAATTAAATATTATGTAGCCAATATTATATAGATACCCATTATATATTATAATGTTTACTGCAACTTTATCCCGGCAACACCGCCACGCCGACACAGATGGACGACGACAACAAAACCCCGATTTTATTTCAAAGCGTATTACATATATTTATATGTCCATTTATAAAAAAAAAATGATTTATAGATAACATACCTGTACTGTACCTCACTATATCTGTGGTCTGAAATCATCACTGACGAAAGTTTCGAATTACCAGTTTTTTATTATTTTTTTTTTTTTTTTTTTTTGTTTTTTGAAAAGTGGAATGTGAAATAAAACCAATAGTTTCACTCAGTGATATGTGTTGCTTTTTTTTGTGTTAACACGTTTTTGACCGGACGATTTGCTCAGATCTGGGGTGTATAGTTCCTGATAGCGTTTTTTTTTGTTTTTGTTTATGTCTACTATTTAGTTGATAAATTTTCAAAACTATTCATATATTATGTAGTTCATATTTTTGAGTATATTATTTGGAACAAATGACAAAAAGCTGATACAATATTTTTACAGGATACAACACTGTTTCTGAACAAAATCGATATTGGAAAAAATACTTGCTTATTAAAAATCGTTGAAAATTTAATACGACTTATTATTTTATATGCAATTTTTGTGTTTGTTTTTTTGGTTTTTTTTTTTTTTTTTTTTTAACGATTATAGTTCAAATGTTGTATATAATTTATTAAAACCACGAACAATATTGCTCAATTATTTCAATCGATTTACTCAATATATTTAAACTAAGTTATCTATTTTATTTCTCACCTACAGATTTATTCAGCTCAGTTATTTTTCTTCTTTTTTTATTCGATTTCAACGATTTTAATATCTAATCTTAATAAACTATATTTTTTAACGTAATATTTAATAATTAAGAAGCTGTGCATAACATAAATGTGAAACGAATAACGGAAATGAACGATAGGAGTTAAGGAGTAATGTTTCACAATAATGAGAGATGTCGACAACGATGGTAGAACATATTGAAAAATAAAATCTGAATTGACTTTGATAACTTCTGAGCACCAATCATACGAACAACGGAGTAACGATTTTTAAAAAAACTAAAAGAATGGGATAATGAAATTGGCTTATTTTATCACTAAATTATCGAGATGATACGCAAATTAATGATAAAACAAGGTATACAGAGTGATAAGTGATAAATCCTCGATAAGATATGTATTATCTCGAAAACCGTTAACTTTTTCGAAATTTGTTTAACAATTTATAAAATAAGCAGATATAAAATATTATATTTTAGTTATTTTTTTGTCATTTTTATTTTCAAGGATGAAATCATAACCCACTTTTTATTTAAATGTAATCAAATTCAGTTTAAAATGTTTTTTTTTTGTCCAACAGAATCCATCAAAATTACCGAATAATTAACCTACGACAATGTTTAACAAATTATTTCTGTTTTTATAACACGTTCTTTATTGATTTTTCGATTTAATTAATTTTTATTTTTAATTTTATTCGAATCAGCCATTAAACATTTAAATACCACTTGTCAAAGATAAATTGTTTCATTCAAGGAGATCTTGTATGAAATAATATTATCAAACACTTTTCTAATTATTGTGACTGTGTAATAATAATCGTTGCCTATTTAAAAGGATAAATCCTTTACTCTCTATAAAAGTAATATTAATAATGTTAATAATATTAAGTATAATATAATGTACTGTTAATTATACTGAATTAATAATTCTTTTATTAAATTTTAATTAAAATTGCACGCGTTTTTAAACCACAGAGAATATTATTTTATATGAATTTCAAAAAAAAAAAAAAAAATTAAATTAAAATTAATAATGTACATCACACGCGACTAATGAAATGTTAACACGTGTCATGTATATGATAAGGCCAATTAAAAAATACGATTTTTTTTTTAAAACAAAAACATTGAAAAGTCACAATATACAGACATGTTTTAGCTCGAAAAAGTTTAATCAAATATACGGTTAATTATGTATTCTTCATAAATTTAAATTAAACCCTACGCGATATATTATTATAAAATATAGTTTAAAACTTGTCTTTTAAGCGTTTAAACGAGGTTAGCATTTTAAAAATTTCTAGATGTTTGTCCATATAATATAACACTTTCTCGAGTTTAAGTAAATTTCATTTATGATTTATTGCAAGAATATAGGGAAGAGTTGATAATTTGTCATCTAAAAGTAGGTACTTTAGGTATTCGACTTTAGGTACTTTAAGTAGGTATTCGAAGAAGAAAAAAGTACGAACCGAAAAGCTTATAAAATTAATATGCCGTATACGCCTATAATAGGTACCTATAGTAAGTACATAATAAAATAACTTTTTTTATTCCACGTTTTAGATTTCCGTGTTACAACTCCTGGGAAAATAAAAAAAATTACCTTTTCAAGGTACCACCCCAATCAGATTTTCTTTCGGAAAATGTGTTATCATTGTAAATCAGAGCAAAATTGATGGCAGAAAAGTTGTTCACTACAGAATAAAAAGGCCGATATATTTTGTTCACAGATTATTAAAAAAAAAAAAAAAAAACATCATTGTAAAGCCAATATATTCCTCGCTCTGCTCAGAATCTAAAAATATTTAACTTAACTTGACTGCGTTAAAAATATATCATTAACTTGTCCATTATTTGTACAGTAATGCAAACACAGCTCTTTAAGCTTTTGTCCCTATTTCGTGTGACCTTTTCAATGATGAATAATAATAATAATATTTCATTATTGTTACAGACTTTTCAGCAGTGACGGTGGAGGCGACGGCGGCGGCATTGACAGTGACACACGTTATAATAATGTTGTGGTTATGCCTACAGATTAACAGACTACATATTATAACGGCGATACAGCCCGAATGGTGACCGGCCGAGCAAAAGGTATATAATTATTAACCTTCGTATTATATAAAATGTATAAAAGTAAAATAAGAGGGCGAAAATCTACGGAATCCGAAAATGGATTTTCGCGTCATTTCTCGCCCGAAAAGCCATGAGTTGAAAAAACGGAAAATTAATCAACTATATATGATATTATATACAATATTTATACATCTATATACGTTTTGCCGAGTGATAGGAGGAAAATATAGAGATATAGAGTATTAGTGACGGAAGCGACGAGAGCGTTTTATCCGTGTGGCGTAACCTTTTTCGACGTCCGTCGCGATAGATTTGTGAGCGCCTTTGAGCATCTCTCGGCAGCGGCAGGCACCGTCTGTAATACTGCAGTAATTAACTCCGAGCAAAACGGATTATAATGACGACAACCGTTGAAATACGCGCGATATTCGTGTCAAGTGAACGCTTTTGAATAATTATAAAATTAAAAAGAAAAAAAGAAAAAAGTACATCGGCTAGTAACGGTGGCGGCGGTGGACGGGCAATAATACAATGCACACAACAATATAAATATAACATAAAAACTCCCGGGAACTGTGCGTAAAATAATATTATTTATTTTCGTTTGCATTCGCGCACGTTTCGACATATTTCAAATCGGCCACTTTTGAATCCAGAATACCTATTGAATACACGTACTGTTCCTGATTGTTAAGAAAATCAAAAAATGACCTAGCTAATGCACCGAATAGACACAATTTCGATCAAATTTTAATTTGGTAATGAAATCGGATATGTTAGATGCATTTTTCATATACAGAAATAAAAACACAAAATTACCTTATATTCATAAAATGGATTTTTTTGTTTTTAAAGAATATATATTTTGTATTTAGGTAGGAAACACGTCTCACGGGAGATTTCTTTTTTGTCCGAGTAATTCTTTGCGGAGATATTCTGACCGGGAAGCAAAAAACAAAACAAATACTGAAATGACTGGGCTGCACTGGCGGAATGCGTATAAAATAGTACTGTAATAATATTACTACAATTTATAGAGTTTTACGAAAGTATATAATATACGAGTGTATTAAACGCGGGTCTTTTGAGAAATTTTCGCTAAACACAACTGCAGTATAGCATTTATTTTATGCTGGCAAACACGCGTATGTACATAAATCTTACGACTCGTACGCGTGTAAATAATATTATTTTTATTATATGAATATACACTGGATTACGGAGGCGTTCTTTTTTTCTTTTTTTTTAAGTTACATAATATGTAAATATGCAAAACGTAGATAGGTACTTACCTACCTATATATTATGGAGAACAGTAGTGGTTTTTAAACGTTTTCATGCGGTTTTAATTGGTCTATTATTTTTTTTTTATTTTTTAGTTACCTCCGACGAATCACACATGATATATAATATTATGATTTTTGTGCAATCATCATTTTCGTATTATTAGGGGAGGTCACGTGTTCAAACACCCATCAAAAAAATCCCTAAAAATAATCGGTTGTATCTTTGATTTATTGTCCGTTGATGACAAATGTATAAGACAATTTGTTTTTTTTTTTTTTTTTATCATAATTGTCAATTTTAGGTGAATATTTCGATGATATTATAATATGATGGATGAAAGCTATAATAAAGAAAAGAGAATTTCAAACAAATATCCCAATACAATATTCTGCAGTTATATTTACGTTTTTATTTTTATTGGTGAATTTTATATATTAAAATAAACCAAAATTAATTAAACTACACATGATATAATTCAAAATTAACTCATAGTTTATTAAGTTACCTTATGTAAAAAAAATAAGTTAAGTCAATAATAAATCAAAGATTTTAATTGACTTAACTTTTAAGTTTTTAACTCGGTAATGCCCATACTTAATAGTATAAGTAAAAAAAATGTAGTATCTACTCTAAAAGAAAAGTAATAAAAATAGTTGGTAGTAAAATTACCGAAATTGTATTTAATTATTAAAAAACATTGGATACTCAAAACAACAAGCATGCTACGTGCCATACATATTTTTTATAGCTCTATATCATAAATAGGTAAAGAAAATGTTTTAATTTATTTTGTGATTTCAATTTTACAGCAAGGTGAATTTAAATATTTTTGAATAATCGAAAAATGTCGTGAAAATTTTCCATAAGAAATCCCTTAAATGTCGGAGGTGTGACAATAATGAGTGACTTAAATATTGTCACATTAACTTTTAACTTAACTTAAAAAAATAATTATTAACACGTTAACTTGTTAACTTTTCCCAACTAATGTACAACTTGACTTAACTGAATTTACATTATTTAATAACTTACCCAGCGTTGCTTATTAAATTTAATGAAGACAAATATTTTACTTTTTACAGCAACAAGTAATTTAATATATGTATATTATATTCATCAAAATTTCTTTTACGTTCATTGGTCATTTATTTGAATGTTTCACTAAACGCGGTTTCCGCGCGTTCTAAAACACAATATTAATACCAAAACCCATCCACTCCCGAATATTTTTCTTATCTACGCCGTACCAACGTCATGTTAATAATAATGTCACTATAATATTTTTGTTATTTGCTAATATTCTGATTAACGGTATACCAATATGAAGTTTCCCCCCCCCCCCATTTTGTCCGTTCAACTTCAAAATACCACCAAATAATTGCAAATCGAATTTCACTAATTGTAAATCCTTTTTTATATTTTATGTTTACGAATTTTACAATTCATTTGTAATTTTTTGATGGTATTTTGAAATAAAACGGACAAAGTGAGGGGACAACTTTATGATGGTCAACGGTCATCAAATAACGGCATTTGCGTTAAAACGCCTTCACATTACATCGTGTAGTCCAGAATTAGCCGTCTGTTGATCATGTGCCCATGGTTAAACTGGTTGAACATGGTTTCTGGTAGTTAGTGGTTATTTTAAATAAGCTATATAAAAATCGAACAATTTGGTTTTCGAATTTGTGATTTTTTTTTTGAGACAATACAAAACCAAAGTGAAAATATGTTGTATTTATTATTTACACTAAGTACCTAAAGGTACATCAAATCAATTAAGCTATAATTTCATTATTCATTAATTGCTATAAAATGATAATATCGAATAACTTTCTAGCGTTTTCCGTTCATAAATAAATAATACCTTCTGGAATATATGAAACCGTGTCTAATAATATTATTGCCTAATATACGAATAATATTAAAGTCAAGTTAATGTATTGTAAAAATGAGAAAAAAAGTTTTTATCGATAATACAGAATTATTTATTGAAAATTTGAAAATGTGTAAATATTATGCAATGACCATGTAACCAATGTAACCATACGTTCGAGTTGGATATTTCTCGGCTAAGAAATAACATTTAAATAATGAAAATGGTTAATGAAACAAGTAACCAAACGCGCAGCCAATCAAACATCGGATTTTTAACAATGAATTATGGACGACACAACAAAATGTGAAGGCGCCTTTGCACCTTTAATAATTGATAGATAAGTACACCCATACGTTTAGCGATTTAACACCTATATCATTTGCATTCGGTATATTAATAATGATATCGTTTATACATCAGCCAGCCCGTCAAAACGCGTACACGCGGCGATGAGGTCTTGTCGAATCATTAATTGTCCGTATAGCAA